GCTGAAGGAGAGAAACGCCTGACACAGATGCTTTTACTGGAACCTTCCACCCCCACACAGCATGATTCGATACCATCCAATCAAAATCACATCCGGTCATTCGGTTGTCAGCTTCACGTGTCAAAAAGCTCGCCTAAAATAAATCTCACCATACGGTCTGGCCGAGCTCTGGTGCCTGTGTTGCTGCGATTTCGCTTTTTCTGAAACCTCCAATGAGGAGTTTTCGAATACTTGTAATGGAAAACCTGCCGTTTTTGAACATGTTTTATAACATGTTTTAGGAATTGTGCTAATGTAAGATCGCCAAAGCGCTGTTTGTAAATAAACGTGTGCCCGGAAAACTGTAAACTGCTTTTGTTTACAGAGTTACAACAGCGGCGCTCATTAATAAGCAGGTTCCTGAGAATCTGGCAGCTAAAAAGCTTCTGTAGATCAGGCCGAAAATCGTCCGAGGGAAAATCTAAAGTCAAGCTAAAGCCTTGGTGCTGTCGGCTATTTATTCTCAATACATGGCTACCTCGCTCTAATTTTATTTACAGTAACAATACCCTTTTAGCGGCAGGATGTTGTAAATCAAAACTTAGATATCTGAAGCACTGATATCGTCTTCTTTGTCCTGATCTTGTGAAACCAATACTCGGACATAGTTTCGGCAGAAGCTGGTATATGAGGCTTTTCAATACTCCGAGAACATCTTTCCTTTTAACTACGAGGCTTTGAAAACACAATTCTTGCTCGGGTTTTATTTTTAATCCCGGAAAGAACTTGAGAGCGCCCTCTAGAGTCTCTTTGAATTCCTCTCTGCGTCTCTATCCATAAAAAAATTACCACATGCAATCAAAACACTCTGCTCGTGTTTACTTGCAGTCGGTGACGTCAGGGCGTATTGTGTGTTATCCAATCACTGCCACATCCAGATTCTGGATGTGTCACACGATTTGCTGAATGGTTTTGTGTCAGCCCTTCCTTTTTCTTCTCCCCCCTCCCCCCTCCCCCATCAAAAATCTCCTCTCCCCCATCCCCTTAGGAAGGCCTGATACTCAGGCTAGTACCTGCAGTCTAGCCTAGCATTTTTTCAGGGATGCCCTTAGATTCCTATGGAAACGCTGAACTGTCTCCTTACCCTCACTCTGGGTTCTTTTTCTTGTTCGATCTTCTCCTGAAAGCAATGTTATTACGCTTTTTGAACCTCTGAAACCAGTTGTCACTGGCTTTGAATTTCTAAGCTGCCTCTTTTCCATAACAAGGCTCAATCTTTTCCTTCATTTTCTTTTTCAGCTAAAGCTTAAACTCCACAACAACACGTGCAACTGCTAGTGCAAACTTCTCGCTTTTTACTTTTTGGCACACAAGTTGTCTTCTTTGTCGTGTGGATCTTGCTGTGCCTTTGTTCTTCTTTGTCTTGTTGAGAGCTAGCTGGCTTTCAATTTTTACCCGGTCTTTGTTCCATTTAACTACTAATGATTTGCTGATCCCTCTTCTTTCTGCAACCTTTTCCCAGAGGTTTTTTGTCTTAAGCTCTTTCATGGTGTCTAGAAGATCCAGAGTTTTTATCTTGAAATCTATAGTGTAAGATTTCCTCTGATTTGTCCCTCGACGATTGTTTATTTTGATTCCAGAGTCACGTTCCTCTAGCTCCATCAAATCGTATGTTGTTTTTAGACTTTCTTCGTCCACTACTTGCTGGTCAGTAGCTTGGTTGACACATTTATATGAAGTTTTCGATAAAGAGCTGCTTTGGCTTATTGAAACCAAAATGGAATAAAGTATGATTCATTTCCTAAGCTGAAGAAAGTCTTACTCGAGAAATCATAAGCTGTCAAACTAACGTGTGTTGAAGTGTGAAGCACTGATACAGGGTTTGTGCTAGGATTTGATCACTGGGGGACAAATTATTTGTCCCCTTGGCTAAATTTTTGGGGGACATTCTCATTTTTAGGGGGACAGAAATTTGTACACCCTTCTGCTGATGCAAAGGGGTTTGTCTTCTTAGCAGGGCTTCTGATAGGTCTCGGAAGAAAAAGTCAAATTTCGCGGGATTTTTAGGGACAAATTCGCGGAAAAATCGGCCGATTGCGCGGGAGTTTTCGGGGCAAACTTGGCCGAAAAGCAATCGGTAAAAACGGCCGATTTTGTGGTTATTTTCAAGGCAAATTTCGCTAGAAATCGATTGGTTTTGCGCTGATCAGACCAGCCTTTTTACAGCTGATTTCATTCCTATGTATACACCCGGATTTTCAGACACGATTCGACGGTCATGATTCGACCTTTCATGATTCGACACTAATCACGTGACGTATCGCTTCGCAGTACGTAAACGGTCGCGAAAATAATTGAGAGTTCTGCCGTGGGATCCGAAACAGTGAGAGAAAAATCTGGCTGGAAAGCTTAGCACTAAAGGACATAAGTGTAACGAAGCTAGAATCCCGACAAATGCGTTTTACCTGAAGAGGAAAGCCTTGTTGCTTGGAAAACAGCGACATGATACAGAAATTATGGGTGTGTTCCTTTCGGCGAATCCAAAAACGGATTTTGGATCCTAGATTTGCCAGATTTCGCGGTCGAAAGGAACGTGAAATCCGAAATTGGATTTGTAACCTTGGTAACCTTTCGCCAACGCGTGCAATATGCACGACAGCCTCTCAAGAAATGACGTGTTTTCTACTGTTTGACAAATTATGCGATTATACCGTGCAGAATATAGTGGTCGGCAGTTCGAATAGCGACGATGGAACATATAAAACAGACAAAGAAAGAAGCGCATTAAAATTGAAAATTATCTAAAGAATGTCGGCCAGTTTGATCCAGTTCCATAGCTCGGATATTTTTATGTAACACGATCGAGTGCCTGTCGCGTCTACAAGCGAGTTTGTAGTTAGATGGCAGTTCATTTGTTACTTGTACTTATTTCTTATTTCAAGCAATTTTTAGAGACAAATGGTTAGTATATGGATATTTTAACGTACCAGGAACAATCTTCTAGTGTTTTCAGTTGTTTTGCGACAAATGACAGCAACGAGGAAACTCTACGGCCTCTATGGGAATACTTCAACTGGAAATACCGCTGGATCATCTGACTAATTTCGGATCCACTGTGAATGGAACAGCGTAGATCACTAATCCGTTAATCTGGATTTGGATTCTTCGGATTTCAAATCTAATGAATCCTTTTTCAAAAAGGATTCACCAGATCAAAAATCCGGATTTGGATTTGCCGAAAGGAACACGAAATCCGTTCTTAGATCTAAAATCCGTTTTTGGATTCACCGAAAGGAACACACCCTATGATAACATTTGATCAGGTGATAAACCTGGAGTTCGATTGCCGAGTCCGAATGTATTTCTGTAGGCGATTTCATAATGGACGAAATATTATCAACACGGCGAAAAGCGAAATAGTCCGACAGTTAATCGTTAGTCTTCTTCCGTATGACAAGGTTTCGGTGTTTTGCCGTTGGTGAATACCACCCGCAATTTACATGTAACAGTGATGCAAATTTAGTTAACAGGGAGGCAAATTTGTATTTCTTCAAGTTGGTACTTTTTCGTCCTTACTTAGCTTCTGCATGGTTAAAAAATAACAGGAAACCTTGACGTTTTGCCGAAGAAACCAACAGATAAATTGATCAGTCTACCGTTGTGAAAGAATTTGCTGGGGGGTTTGAAAGTTTTGTTTTGTCGACCGTTGAAAAATATCACAATGTTCGATCCTCGACCTATGACCCTAGTAAGCACAAATAAAGAAAACCATACATAAAAGAAAGCAAAATTTGTTTTTTTGGAAAAGGGTAAAATATGATATTTCCTTGAAGATCAAGGTAAAAGCCCAAAACAAGTTGAGAAAAGAGCCGAAAAACTTATTGATCGAGACGTCCACACGCCCAATAACATGTAGTATTGCGATTAGATTGCGTGACTGTATGAGAAGCTGTTATCCCGGAAAAGGAGAACAAATTATGGATTACAGTCCTCTTTTTCTGAATTACAAGAGAAATATTCAAGCTATCATTGTATGCTTTGATTCCTGTAGGATATTCAAGGTAAAATACTATACTGCTTGGTAACCTCTCGGTCGAATCATGACCGTCGAATCTTGTCTAAAAATCAGGGTGTATACACCGCACTGAAATCAGCTGTAACGTTTATGTAACAGAGCTCATCATTTGCTCTGACAACAATACACTCCGGAAATGAACCAATGGCAAAGCCTTTAACATCATGGCT